CAAATCCAAATAACTGCTCGCTCCTCCTCCTTCCACCAACGTATGAAGGAACGATTCGGCGAATGGCGATTTACTCTGAAATTTCATATGCTTGACTCTACACTCACCATCAGCAGACATTTATACTGCCTAATTTAATGCTTCTTTCCTATTCTTATTCTTATCATGACCAGTGTATTACTGCTGATTGAAAGAGAGAAACAAGAGTGAACCTCAACAACGACATTGCTAAGTTGATTAGCTAAAAGCCACTTGAAGACCGCAACATTGGCGAGTTCGTCTTTGGAGCGTAAAACGCAATTGATGATCAAATCGCGTGAAACAACCGCAGACTGTAATGCTATACCGGATTTGGTACGAACGTCTGCTTGTATACGATCCAATGCATCCGTTATGCATTTGTATGCTGATTTCCTGAAAAATAACAAATTGTAAGCACCACATCAATATCGCTAAATTATACAAAAGATACTGTTTGTTTGATAACTGATTGGACATTTCAAAAATGGAACGAATGCGTGAAAAATGAGATAGAGATGAACACGAACCGCTTGTTGAATGCATCTTGCGTGAGTGAATCAGTTTCAGCCGAATGACTCTTATAAGCAATTAACGCCAACATTCTCGGATCACTTCGTTCAGCGCGTGCTAATGCCAACTCAACTATACCTTCCACGCAATCCACTGTAATTTTCCACTTTGATTATTCAAATCAAGTGATAACATCCTCAACAACAAAACCAATAAAATTACACAATTGAACTTAGTTTGATGCCTTGAATGAATGTCAAATTGAACACGTTAATGAACACGAGAAAATGCGAATGGAATGAAACGTTACCTTCGTGGAGGAGTTGACATATGACGGGAAGATTGAGTTTATGAACACCAACTTTCAGCATACGAATCGCCTCATCAATCAGTTCCGTTCGCGTCGGACACGGCTCCATTAAATGCGCTTCTTCTAACATTTCAGTTGCCTTCAAAGACAAAAGTTTTCACAAAACGTTAAATTACGAATCGCATAAACTTCATTAAACATTGCTCATGACAAGAAATATCGTTCGAAAATCAAAATAATCAAGATTTTAAAATGCTGTTGTCTGTATGTTTCGTTAACTGAATTGTTTTTCACATGATTATGAACGCACTGATTCAAAAAGAATGTGTTGAACACGTGACACTTCTATATTTTTGAAGCTGCTGGATCCTAAAATTAACCTGCGATTGAAAAAACGATTTTGGGACTGTAAAATGGTTGACATTTTGCAAGCACCAGTTGGTATGCACTACATTCTCATCAACAAAAACAAAATAACCCTTGTAGCAGTAGCATCTTCGTCAGAGAAGAGAGTCGGACAGGTGGTTCGTAACTGATTACAGACTGCACTCGTAGTCGCATTATCACCCAAATAATGTCTCACCAAACACGTTATTAAATCTGCACACATCTACAATAAACGATTATTTCCTTATTGTTTTTGTAGTGACAGAGCCTTTTGAGTGCATCACAAATGATACGCACTTAATGTTGATCACAC